TATGGAACCCAAAATCAGTCTGAAGTCTACAGGGCTAGGTTTAGGACGAGAGTCCGTGCTAAAGGATTTGGAAAGTATAGCACACAAGGCCTACCCAACTGCAATATCCAATATCCACCACCCAATATCCTTAAGCTATTGCTGAGGGATCAGTTTATAGATGCCTTGGACAGTCCACAGCTAAAGATACAAGTGAAGCAAACACACTCCTCTACTATGCAGGATGCAATGGCCAGAGCTCTTAAATTCGAATCCAGTCATCAGGCTTCAAGGCCAGAAAAGGACAGCTTTCGGAGAAGTTTGAGGGACTTTGCTGGCACTGTAACAAACCTGGGCACAAGAGAGTTCAATGCCGGCAACTCCAACACAGAGAAGATGCCATGGCAGGAAAGGCTGCTGCCCAGAAAGGTTGTTGGAACTGTGGAGAACAAAGACATATGAGGAGCTAGTGTAAGAAGAATACTACCAATAAGTCAGCTTCGGGAAACCAGTAGTGGTTGGTGTTTAGGGATGACCACCAACCCCCATTGTGAAAGTCCCAACAGCTAAGTGTAAAATGGCAAGCACACATAGTGTCTACGTGCCAGGAAAGCTGGATGGCCAAAAGTGCAACTTTGTCATATATTCTGCATCTCAGCAAACCCTTGTGAGTATCAAAGTGCTAGATCACAAAGGAGTACCAGAAGCCATACAGAAGCTCTGTGGCGTGACAAGACATTATGCAAGGTTGTGGGGCCCAGTGTGTGTAACTATTGAGCTCATGGGCATAAAGGACAGACACAAATTATACTTGGCTGACATTGAAGACCAATGCATACTTGGGTTGGACTTCTTACTACCGAGGAATTTTATAGTTAATTTTGATAGAATAACATTTGGGAACAACAAAGACCAAATTCCGGTAAGTATTGCTGCTTCTGTTTATTTGCATGTCACAACACTTAAGTCAACTACAATACCCCCGATGTAGAATAAAAGAACATCCCCAAGGAAGCTCGATGCTTGTGGAAGCAG